ATCTCTGCTCTGTTACGCACATTTTTTTTTGGTGCCGTGCACAAATGCTGCTAACACAGGGGAGCCTCCGGGAAAAGGCACAGGGTGTACACGCCGGGACCGCGCTCAGTTTTGTAAGGGGGGGGAAATGCCTTTGGCTGCTCCAGACCCTCCAGGGGGCACTGCGGGAGGCAGAGGCAAAAGTCCTCCTTCCTTGTTGCTGGGCTGGCAGAGGCATTTTTCGGGTTTTGGTCTCTGCATCTTTAAAACCGTCAGACTCCCGCACACACATCCAGACTGTCTGTGCACCCTGCAGCCTTAAAATAACCCGTATCGCCTAGGCAATGGATGAGGAACGGTAACAGGTGCTCCACATACTTGCCACGGCGGGGGGTGTGAGGTTGCTGCCGTTCCATCCCTGCCTCACCCTGTCAAGTCGGGGCACTGGGTGGGGAGGTAGGGGTGGAGAGAGAGAGAGGAGAAGGAGAGAAACTTTTCAGCACTGCTTGCAGTGTAGCGACCTAGATAAGACCCAGGAGGAGCTGCGGGGAGCTCTCAAAGAAGACCAAGCTTACAGCTTGGGGGCGTTACAAATTGGGGTGGGGCTCGGCTACTTCTTGAGCAAAATAGAGGCCCTCAAAGAGGAGAGGCAGGGAACGAGGCTATGATGTGGCCTAATTTCTTCCTTCAGGATGAGGAGCAGCGTATGGGAATGCGCACGCGGGCAGGGGGCAAGCGGCGCAAGACTCTGACCGACGAGCAAGAGGGGAAGATCAAGCTGGCCTTCTTTGTGGCCATTGTGGGGATGACCCTGACAGTGCTGGCCGTGGGTACAGAATTCTGGGTGGAACTGAACACCTTCAAACAGAACCACACAGCCATCTGCGAGGCGGCCCACTACGGCCTGTGGAAATTCTGCTACAAAAAACTCTGGATAGAGGATGTGGAGGAACAGCGGGCGACGTGTGGACCTGCCGAGCTGCCTGGAGGTAATCGTACCGCTGACCCATCTCCCCATTTCCCTTTCTCTCCCGCCTGTCTCCCCCTCCCAATACACGTGTGAGGATCTGCAGCCTTTTCCTCCACAGGCGACCCTCAGGCTACGTCCAGCTTGCGCGGCCACGCTGACCATTCTGCCGAGTGGCCTCCTCTTTCCTTTTCCTCCCTGCCCTATTCACCATTATCCCCAATACAGACTTCTTCCACTGTAAATGTTCCAGTGGTCGCTGGTGCCCCGATTCCTGTCACGATGCTTCCGTTGGATGCGTTTTATGTGCAATAGCATAAGAAGTGACATGCGCCGTTCATAAGGAAACACAGGTTGCTTCCCTATGGAAGTTTTGCTCTGGTTTGGCATTCAAACTGAAGCGGCCCGTTTTTATTTGAGCACCCACACGACACCGTCCCCCTAGTCATCCACTATCCAGTCCCCCCCCCCTTTTGCTTCAAATTTCCCCAAAGCTTGTTTGAGACAGTCTTTCGGGGAAGAACGCAGTCAAAGTCTGTTTGCATCCTTGTGTGGACGGGAAGGTACACATCCTTGCAGTTTCTGCCCACACGGACATCATTTCCCTCAACTTAATGTCATTTTCACGGGCAACCCTGCATCGGAGTGCCTATTTCAGATTCTTTTTAAAATACCTGCAATAGCTGTATCATGACAGCTGTGTTGTTTTTTTTAATCTTCCCCAATCGCTCCAGTAGTGTGGGGGGAGCACGGCAGCTGTTGCGGGCTGAGTCAAGCAAAATATAGGAGAAACAGCAATGTGGATGCTCCATTGCCACTAGGAACGTCTCTTCATTTGCAGCCGGCAATGAGAGCTCCACAGAGAATTGTCTTCATGTAGAAGCGGTCAGAGTGGCCAGGAATGGGCTATCGGCAAGTACCAGGATCAACAAGTGTGGAACCTTCCCGCCCAATCTGATTGAGTAAATGTGATTCCCACCCACTTACCCCTCCTCAAATCCATAAGCTCACAGGCATCCCAAAGACATCATCCTTTTCCTCTCTTTATTGGTGGAAAGTGCTGTCAAATCACAGCTGACTTACGGAGACCCCTTAGGGTTTTCAAGGCAAGAGACCAACAGTGGCGGTTTGCCATCACCTGCTTCCATGTCACACCCCTGGCATTCCTTGGAGGTCTCCCATCCAAATACTAGCCAGGGCCAACCCTGCTTAGCTTCTGAGATCTGATGATATCGGGCTAGCTTGGGCTATCCAGGTCAGGGCTCTCATCTCTTTACCTCCCCACAAATACATATGTTTTCTTTCTGTCTCTCTTCCTCCCCACCTGCCCAAGACTTGGCCTCGCCCCAGTTCAGTCCCACCAGCTCTGGAACCTGTTTGCAATGTCAGACTTCGCCAAGACCTTGCAATGCAGACTGTTGATGCACTGGTTATCACCAGCTAATGAAGGATAATCTCCGTGCTTCTGCTAGCATATTTTCCAGACTCCTGCTCTGCAGGGATATATAGCAGTGGTGGCGAACCTATGGCACGGGTGCCAGAGGTGGCACTCAGAGCCCTCTCTGTGGGCACGCATACCATCGCCCCAGCCAGGCCCAGACCATCATTAAAGTGTCGAATTCTCTGCCAAATAATTTTAAGTAAATGAAAGCATTTGGGATTGCTTTCCTTACTTTGTTTGGATCCTCTTAAGTTAATGTATGAGTTGTTTTTTCTAAAGTAAAACCTCAGTATTCAGGTTAAATTGCCGTGCTGGCACTTTGCGATAAATAAGTGGGTTTTGGGTTGCAGTTTGGGCACTCGGTCTCTAAAAGGTTCGCCATCACTGATATATAGTCTACTTGCGTACAGAATACAATAGAATACCCCTGGATCTATAGGCTGTGGTAGAGAAAGATAACAAAATCACAATTTCCAGCTGTGACATCCTGGAGATAGTTCATGGTTTCAGGAGTGCCTCTATAAGGCCAGTGGCCGAGGCTTCCATGTTACACAGAACTATTTTTCCCAGGACTGTAGTCAACCCTAGACCAGTGGGATCCTGACTTACCTTGAATTTTGACCCACCTAATTTTTCTAAAAGGCTTTTAATTCAAGATATGATGGTTTCTGTTTAAAGAACAGGAGGAAAGATGGCTATATGCATGCAAGGCAGCTAGAAGAAAAGAGCATGTCTCTCAGCACTGAGGCCCCATCAAACCCATTCCCCACAGATTTGAAGAGTGCAGGGGAATCCTGGTTTTTGCACAGGCTTCAATTGAGACATCTTGCATTCATGCGTACACCCAACAATTCTTCTACCTATCTTCCCTTTCTCTTGGGAGTATTTGACTTAACTTTGCCTTTCAATGAACTTTTCAGAGTCCATTTCTGCAAGAGGCTCCTTTCTGGCTCTTCCTCCCTGCATGCAAAAACTAGACATCAGATGGGGCTTTGCAGAAGCCTAACCCTGCACAGATTTAGGGTATTTGGGGTTCTCTTAACCCTTCCCCCACCCCACACCTCCCCTCCACATGCACCCACTTCTCTCTGTTGATTTGGAAACAGAGATTTATTTCAAAAGGCTTTTCTCTTACAGTGGCATTTACGCCACTGCACTAAATGGTTTGCAGCACTTAAATGTGAGCTAAGGGCTTTGCCAAGCTTTGCTCTGGCCCCTGTGAGCTCAGCCCCAGGTTTAGAAACTTGTTTTTAAAAACAAAAGGTGGCTTCATAGACTAGATCCCTCGTCTGCAGGCAAACACTGCATTTTCCCCAGCAATTCATGCATATAACCCTAACGTACGGACAGTATATGCTCCACTCTGTTTTTGTTTTCTGACTTCCAGTCTGGAAACCTGGATTACCACCATCAGTCCTTCCCCCTCAGGAGAACAGAACAGTGGGCAGTCTGTTGTTTATTTGCTTGTGTTATTTAAATGCAAATCCATGTCAAGTTTTCCATTCCCTGGCTTTGATATTGAGTTTAAAAATAAGGTGCAGGTGGCTTAAAAAAAGTGTTTTTTTAAAAAACCCTGACATTTCTAAGGAAGCGCTAATAAAATGCAGATGTTTGCCAACTGCCTGGAGCAAAAAAAAAAGTCCTGTCCCTTTGGAAGAAATTTAATGGGGGTATTATCTGCCATTAGATTGTTATTTACCTCCAAGCCATGAAATGCTTTAGCTGCCCAATTCTACACATCAAGGCTCTATTAAAGAAGCAGGACATTTTTCTCCAGGCCACTGACAACCCTACCCACCACCAGCAACATAGTCAATAGTGTTTCATCCTTTAATGCAGTGGTTCTCAACCTTCCTAATGCCGCGACCCTTTAATACAGTTCCTCATGTTGTGGTGACCCCCAACCCTAACATTATTTTCGTTGCTACTTCATAACTGTAATTTTGCTACTGTTATGAATCGTAATGTAAATATCTGATATGCAGGATGTGTTTTCATTGTTACAAACTGAACATAATTAAAGCATAGTGATTAATCACAGAAATAAGACCATCGAAAATTTGCGTTTTCCGATGGTCTTAGGCGACCCCTGTGAAAGGGTCATTCGACCCCCAAAGGGGTCGCGACCCACAGGTTGAGAAGCGCTGCTTTAAAGGCACTCAGATATTTCCATGTGGAGCAGCTGCCTCCCTTTCGCACCTGGCATGGTCAGCCTTGACCAATTCTGTGGCAGTAGAGAGGTTTCCGCACAATGGCAGGTAAATGCTACGTTTTTTAAAGAGTTGGGCCTGGGTTCCCTGGACCCAACTCACGTTCCCTGCAGCCACATAGCAGCTGTGGGGAACAGCCCCTAAGAGAGAGAGCAAGAAAGCGACCAAATGGGCTCAGAACGCCGCCGCATTTTCCCACACAAAGACTCTGCTGGGGGGCAGAGTTACTCAGAACGCCGCCGCATTTTCCCACACAAAAACTCTGCTGGGGGGCAGAGTTACTTCATCAGCACATGCACAGATGCTCCACACGGAGCAGCAAAATTGGTGAAATAACTTCTCCCCAGTGTGGTTTTTGAATGGGAAAACAGCTTGGGGGGTGGCAGGAGAACTTCCTCACCCCACGGTGCCATTCAGAGCCCGTTTGGGCTCTCTCGCTCTCTCTTTTTAATAGAAGCCATCCTCTGCAGCTGCTGTTTGGCTGAGGGCGACATGAGTGACTCTAAAAAAAAATGTAACATTTCTTTTGGCGCTAGATTAAGTTTCAACCACAACTGGGTGGCTTTTTTTCTGCACAGGCATGCCTATAACTGGCAGCACTTTTTACCTCACTCGAAACTTCCAATTGCGAGTCCAAAAATCTGCCCAATTTGCCGACCTCCCGCTGCTGCCCTCAGAGGAGAGAACTGTTGTCATTTCCTTTGCCAAGACGATAAGCAGGGGACACGGCGCTGTCATCTTGCCCTCTTGTGCTTTCAGCGGTGGGAAGTTCTGGGCAGCCTTTCCAGTTTCCTTCAGAGGAGAGCGTCAGAGTTTTACAACATCCGTGTCAAAATCTGTTTATTTACAGCCTGGAAAAAAGGAACAGATAGGAAGCAGCCGATTGGCAGGCAGGCTGAAGGCAAAACCACTAGTGGGTACTCCATAAAACTTTGGGAGGACACACCCACACCCACACCCACCAGTTTCGTCTGCGCCTGCCTCAGCCTTTGCTCCCAGGGCCCAAGACAATAGCTATTTGCAACTGACCTCTAGGACCCTGGTCCCACACCTGAAATCTCCCTCGCCATCAACATTCATCACGGTGATAAGAGACAATGAAGGGAATGACCTCAATACCTTTAGCAGTTGTGTAGAAGAGGAAATGTCGGTTGGTGCAGCCCGGGTTAGGGTCAAAGATTGGCATGACTGACCACTTGCTGAGGGCCTGCAGTCTGGCAGCAGTCCCACGGCTGGTCAGAGAAGCTGGCCCATCTGCCCCCACCCCACCCCGAAATGGGAGATCACCCCAGCGGCTTCTGTGACATCGCAGGCAATCTCCCGTTTCATCAGGAGAAGTGCCCGGAGGCAGTGACCAGTTTTACCTTTAAC